ATGCAATGATAACAGCAAAAATTGCAATATGAGCACTGGTAAAAAAATGTTTGCAGAAAGACATTAGGTTTATAATACCCAGAAATTCACACTCAGGTGTCCTAAAGGCGTTAGTTAGATCCAGTGACAGGACCCAAAGAGTGTGAGTTCAATACCTGGTTAAGGCGGTAGAGAACTTGAAGAGTGGAACTGACAAGAGATAACTGATAAATGACATCCATTAGACATGGCACGTGGAACTAGAACAATCTACCCCAGCGAGCGAAATAAAGGATTCAGTTCGACATTCCAACCACCTGAAGAAGACCGGAGCGTACAACGTCCGAAACGTTGTGATGAATATGGCAACAAAGATGAGGACAATAGTCCAAATAATGTAAATAGTGTGATTAAAACAATCTATTTTACTTATATTTCTGACCGGCTGGCTCGCCTAAATGAACACAAGAACTTGTCGTAAGTTAAAACTTATGATACTTTACTCATGCGCAAGTGTATTATGCAAATTCCGATAAAGATAAATACACAGTTTTGCTGAAACCCATTTTCACTTGTATGATTGATACAGAATGCTTTGGGTGATGTGGAACGACAAATCTCTGGAGGTTATCACGGATTATACGTAATCAAGTACATTCGACCTGCTAAAACGTGTTGGGTGCAACCTTACACAAACATTTCTCATATAAAATACAATTAATCTCTATATATAAAACAGAGGATGTCTGTGTGTTTGTCCGCGTGATACCTTTTCACTCGAGAACCATCCAACCGATTTTGACCAAACTTGGCACATACACTGTGCAGTGTAAGAGATAGGTTCTTACCATAAAAAAAATCGATAATTTAAAAAAATTGCTGAAGACATTAGGTTTATAATACCCAGAAATTCACACACAGGTGTCCTAAAGGCGTTAGTTAGATCCAATGACAGGACCCAAAGGGTGTGAGTTCAATACCCTGTGCAATGTAAGAGATAGGTTTCAGTGATAAAAAATAAAGAATAAAGTGTTATAAAAGATTCAAATCGAACCACTCGATAGGGGGTAACACTGTTACATAAGCTGCAATGACTGAGATTGCCATTTTATTTCATTTTGTCAAGTCATTTAACTTGATAAAGCCGATCAAAAAATCGATAAATTCAACTTTTTCCTCCGATTGCGTGCAATCTCAGTATGTAGGTTACTTACATCATGACGAGCTCAACGATACCTCATTTTTATATCTACGCCACTGCGGTTAACGAAAAACCATGAAAAACGAAAAATCGATTTCAGCACAAATTTTAAACTAAAAACTCCCTCAATTTTCAAGCAAATACAAACTTCACTTAATTGTAGCCAACAATAAGTTGATTGTTTAACAATCATTTAAATTGATAACTGAGTCCACCCATATAGTGAAAACCTGCGTAAATAGCGAAAAATGGCGATTTTTACTGGTTTCTTTTTTAGTTTTCGTTGATCTTTCAACCAATTCTCATAAAATTTAACAATTGCTTTATAAATGAATCCTCTTTTAAATCCCTGGTAGCACACCGACAAATTGAATTTCAAAAATTCCAAAATAATTGTGGTCTGAAGTGGGTCTTCATGTTTTTTCCCCTTCATGTCCTAGGTTAACTTCGACTGAATAAATACAGACTACTTCTATTATATCAATAATTGTTTAAATTCAAAATGTCTTTTAATGAAATTAATCGACGATAGACTCTGTTACATGTAAACATGATGCTATTTTTGCTTTGTTCTAATTGAACGCTTTTTCTGATCGACCAGCTGGGTATGGCTGCTCGTGTGATAATAAACATATAATGCAGGCTATTCCTTGTTGGCTACCAAGAGAGACCTGGTCATTTCTTGGAAGTGTTTTTTGACTTGTACACATTTGATGGGTTGCATGGGAGACAATGTCGATATTTAATGATTGTCTCTCAGAGAAAAATTAAATGGAAGAAAGTCGATAATAATTTTGTAATATATTAAATATATTTAGATAACGTAGATTAGATACTGAGAAAAACTAGAATAGCGAGCCAGAGACTTACCAACTAAGCTTCTATGTCCTATAAAGATTTGGTTTGTTTTACGGTATATCAACCTCAATGGGTTATTTAATGCCGACAAGATTTTTATTGCTGGTAATATTCTTTTCCAAAAATATATTGCTGGTAATATCTTTTTTTCAAAAATGCATTGCTGGTAATATTTTTTTCTTCAAAAATGTATTGCTGGTAATATTTTTCGTTTTCAAAAATGTACTGCTGGTAATAATTTTTCCAAAAAAATATTGCTGGTATTAAAACCTATTTTTATACTTTCATAGTATTTTAACCCCTTTTTTTTGGGGGGGGGGGGTTAACTATTTGCCCATAGCTGGGACCCTGACAGGTGTTACCACCCCAGATTAGACCTGGGAACACCAGCAATTAAGAAGTGGTTCCATGCTCCTCAAAACCTCCTGATCAAAGGTCTGACTGTCGGATGTAGTTTATAGTCTTACCCAGGACGCTGATGTAGTTTATCATCATACCCAGAACGGGATGTATAAAGGTCTGAAATATGGAGCTCATTTAAACGTTTGCCATGGAAGAAGTGAGAGAGTAGCAAATAAGCTTGCGACTTTCCGTCTGTGGGGAAAAGGGATGCAAGGAGGAAAATAAATCATTCGATACAAGGCATCAGTAGTGATCACCCCAAACACCTTCCTAGACTCATGCAATTCTTTTCGAATCCTCTTTATTGTCCACAAATTTTCACCCAAACACTTTGAAAAAGTTCGTAATGGAGCTTCCGGTGCGAATGACAAGTAGTACCAAATTTCTGACGGAGTGAATTGAGTGATAGTGTTCCTTTTCTCACAGACGGTGCCCAACTGACCCTACTATATTGTTCAGTCGACAAAATAAAAAATAAACAACAAGCATGTGCGAAATTAAAAATATAAAATGGCAACATACAATTTCTATATAAAATGGCGACAATTTACTCATCGCAACCTGTGTGTGTGTATATATATATATATATATATATATATATATATAATTAAAAAATATAGTGAGCCCATTCAAGTCTCTTGGCTTTGTTGGCTTTGCTTATCAGCGGCTTAAACCTTCGTGTACAAGATTTGTTCTAATTTGTTCTAACAGCCACCGACGGACTGTTGACGAGGTAAGACTAACACCTTGTTCTTCGCTTAGACTGGCTTCAATTTCTTGGCTAGTTATAGTCCTATTCTTCACAAATTCTTGATTACCCTGCCAGTTCTATCATCAATCGTTTTCTTTCGTCTCCTTGTTTCCTTCCTTGGAGCACGAGTGGCATCATTATGTGCACTAAGCACTCGAGAGATAGTTGATTGAGAGGTTATAGCAATTTCTGCAATTCCTTTCGTAGACTTGCCTGCTTTTGAGATGGCAATAATAGATGCCTTAAGTGGTTCTGATGTGTGTTTGTACCCTTTCATCTGGTTAGTGACTTGAGTGGCTATTTTAAGCTGTTTTTATACTGTATGAGGGTTTCTGGAATATTCTGGAATACTCTAGATTTAATTTAATCTGTGCTAGAATTCTCTAGAATATTGTTCTGAGTGTATTGTAAAATAGTTTTCAGTATTTTGTCAAAACCTCTTTAAATTTACCACTTTAATCATTAGAATGCGATATCTGAGTCACTTTTTTTGCACAGTGTTTTTTTTCCTCATTTATATCTAAATTTATAATTATCAACAGAATACCTTAGGGTGAATAGACTTTTTTCCTAGGTGGTCGGGAAGGGGTCTTTATATTAGTAAGATTAAAAATTATTTTAATCCCCAAAGCAATAGACAAAAATATTTTTAGTAAAAAAAAAAAAAAAAAACTCAGGTGAGTAACTTATATTGAACCACTGTATATATATATATATATATATATATATATATATATATATATATATATATATATATATATATATATAATTTAAATATAAAATGGTGACAATTTACTCATTGTACCCTGTATATCTGTTCTTGTATGCACTGACGACATGCAAATTTCACAAAACAATTCATAATTTCAAACGCTCCGAAACTTTATGAATGTTTAGCTTATTTGTTACCTGGCTGGTTTTAGGGAATGAAAAGTCCTACTTGTATGCTTCTGATACAAAATCTGTTGAACAAAAAATATCTTCTCACACGAACATAAAAGAAACTGTAGTATCTATATATGAATTATGATATATTTAATCATTGAGATTTCAGTACTTAATCTCCCTCACTATCTTTCTGCCATCATCCAGATGAAGGCAATTGAAGGAAGAACAGAGTTACAGTTGAGTGAGCCCTTAATAAGATATTGGGAGCAAATGTGGTCTAACGTGCTCTCCGTTACATCACCCCCCGTAAAATATAAATTAGATTACCTTTTCCGAACTCCTTGGGTAAGGTAATTACGACCTCTAGGACGAAAAGCGACTTACTTTTATAAAGCAATCACTATTTACATGTTTCCAAATTGACAGTACCGTGTTGCTGCCGTTTTTTCTTAAATCTTTCTAACCAATATTTCGTGATGTTTCTTTATGTTTTCTGACGTATTCACCAAGAAAATCACTCATATTTACTCTGATTTATATTTCAACGCGACATTTTTAAAGTCCTAGCATTAGTTCTTTAGTTCGCTTAGATAAATATTTTCTTAAGGATAAGAAATACATTATTCATCTATTTTTTTCGTCTACTGCTCGTGGCTAACATGTTTTCGTGAATTGTTTTCTTTACTTACTTTCAAGTTTGTCATTTTTTTTTTTGCTTTTTCATTCTCTCTTTAGCTTCAGAATTGAATTAATACGTCTAAATCAGTGGATTTTCGAATGCATTGCATGTTTTAATGCACTTACATATAATCAAAAGGACATTAATAACCGTCTATTTTGTCACTTTATAAAAAGACAGGATTGCATTTATTTCTCTATCGCTTTCTCTTTGTGCAAATATCCGTCTGTCTTCAGACACACAAGCGTAGATAGATAGATAGATAGAAAGAGAGAGAGAAAGAGAGAGAGAGAGAGAGTAAAAAAATAAGGAAAGAGAATATTTTCTCTCTAGATTGATATAAAGCCCTTGCTCTTTTCCAATTCATCTTCAGTGCGCCCCTTTCTTTCCCAAATCTAGCACCACTTCCTCTGTTTCATACCCACTCTGCAGTCTGAACCACCTCCGACCCAAGTTTGTAACTATTCGCTATTGTAGGTTCGATAATTCATGGCATCTAAGTAATAGATACATTGACAGGAATCTCCATTATTCGGATCTTCTTTCCCCGTTTGGGTGGAATAATATTAGCACAGCTGATCCTGTCGACATTTGTGCCCCGGCCGGCATTATCTGCGGGGCCGTTGGACCATTCACTTTTATCGAGTAAGTAAAATGCTTTCTGGGAAAGAAAGAGGGCAAGACAGAGAAAGAGATGAGAGATGAGAGAGAGAGAGAGAGAGAGAGAGAGAGAGAGAGAGAGAGAGAGAGAGAGAGAGAGCGAATGAGAAAAGAAAGAGAGGATATTTACCATTTAGAAGAAACGAAAAAAACAAAACAAAAAAAAAAGAACATTTACGAAAACAAGAGACTGTAGAACAGGAGTCTTGTCAGTAGGGCCAAGGAAAGTTTATTAACCTGATAATTAAAAAAGATATTGAATCAAGTTCTTATTCGAGGATGCTCGTGAACACTTTCTACACACGGTGAAAGAAAATTAATTTTCAAAAATATATTTTTTCTGCAATAAATCTGTTCAGTTATGTTCTTAGAGAACCTATCAGAAATCTTTAAAAAAATATTTTATGCAAGAGTTTAACACCACTGATCAACAAAACTTGAGTAAAAATACGAAGCATAAAAGCTAGAATTTACATTTGACTAAAGAAACTTCAAGCAAACCATTTCCCCCTCGAGAGTCAGTTTTGTATATTTGTCATCTGACAGGATAATTAGCAACAACAGTTCTGTATGTGTTGATGTAATTTTAAAGCTATAACTAATGACATTTTAAAGCTATAACTACTGACACTGAGGATAATGTCACAAAGTATTTGGAGAAATTTGCTATTACATATGTAAGGAAAACTGTTTATTCGTCAAGTTGACCCCCCCAAAAAAAAACACAAAACTGTCGATTACGTATTTTAAAATACTTGAAATATTTTAAGATACTTGAAATATTTTAGCGTAAATTCTCATTATATCCCGAGGACATAACTTAGCCAGTAGACATCCATTAAAAAACAAATATTATATGTTAATCGTGTCGAGTTTGTAAGTTTTTGTAAGCATCCTTAAAAACAATGTTCATTTTGTAAAAAGAAACCGAAAATATCGTCATTCATGGCAGTCCTTATTGAATTATTGGAAAAAAAATCTTGAAAATGATGCCATTTTTACATTGAAAGTGAAGTCAAACAATATTCAATCTGACCATTAACGAATTAAGCGGGGCCTAAAATAAGGAAAAAATACATACCCTTGTGCAAATTAATTGAAACGACCACATTATTTTCCTTTTTTTTTCACCATACGGTCAATTATGATGAATTTTGTTTGGCCTTGAAAAATATTGCGTCAGCCGTGATTGCATCAGATTTTCATCACGCCCAGACACTATGGTCTAAACTGTCGATTAGTTGTACTACGGCTATTGTCTGCGATGGACGTTACTCCAAGGAAGGGTACGGAAATTGTAAGGCTGCACGAACACACTGGCAAGCCTTTCCTGTGAGCAAATCGAAGTACTATAAAGAAAACTCTCCTGATTTGAACCCAATCGACAATCTGTGTTCAATCTGCAAGGGACGACATCGTGGAATGGACTTACGAAGTACTGACACGTGCACTGGGTCATGTTTCATTGGAAGAATACGAAAAAAGTAAATAATAACGGAATTATTCGTTTTATTTCAATTAATTTGCACAAGGGTGTAAATCTTTCAAGAAAAAATGACACATATATAAAATACGTCATGCATGAAATATACGAATGCATTCATGAAAACGATGTCCAAATTTACATGGCAGCTGGATTAAAATACATTTTAAAATAAAAATATAGTTATATTTTCATGCTACTTAGCAGTTTTTAGATGGTCCTATCTTTCAATAGAACGTGCTCTCTCTCTCATATATATATGTGTGTGTGTGTGCTTGTGTATATGTTGGTGTGTGCGTGTAAAAACTTCAGATAGAGTATATCTGTAAAAGGACAATATAAATAAAGACAAGAAGAAAACTTATCTTGGCCGACGCATTTCGTCCTTTGAGGGATTTTATCAAGCTAAATGTGCCTTAATAAAATCCCTCAGAGGACAAAACGCGTCGGTTAAGATAAATTTATCTTTTCTTTATTAATATATGTGTGCGTGTGTAAAATTACGTTTTACAATCGCTTTATATATATATATATATATATATATATATATATATATATATATATATATGATCACACATGTGAGTGTGCTGAAAAGTTTTGTTCCGATCAAAAGCCTGGAATATTTCCCGTAAAATTGAGATGATTGCTCAGCTTTCGGAGAGCTTAGACCAAAAAGTTTTCAGCACCGACTCGAACACACACACAAAACACACATATACCTATATATATATATATATATATATATATATATATATATATATATATATATATATATATGTGTATATATGGGGGGGTCCATTGTATAGAGTTTTTGATTAAAAACGACTGACAAGGTACTGTGGTTAAGTTTTTTTATTTCACTTTTCTTGTATTCTTATACTTTTATTCTTTTCTGAACATAAACTGTGTAGAAATTGTCCAAATGTTTTGCATATCCGAGCGTTTTCGGCTATAGCCATTATTAAGGGTGATTTTCTCTTTTATTTTAACTGAATGTATGGATCGTTTTATGTAGGTATCTAGAGATATAGGAATGTTTTATTTTCCAGACACAGTCAGCACATTGTTCATAGTTGATATTATTGTGTCTTGGTTTTATTAATAAAAAAGAAAAAAACTATCACTCAATAATATCAGCTATGAACACGACGACAATTTATATTGGTGAGACCTCGTCGCAAATCTAGTACTACACTTAAATTGATAAAGTCTATGTACGATGGCGAAGAGCTTATCTGAATAGTTGCCATGGAAATATTTATAGAAAACGGACAGGGAGACAACTACACATCAGTGGGAAAGAGACTGAAGTCGAGACGCCAGATCAAGGCCGATAATATCAATGATTCTTCTTTGGATTTTGACTAATATTGCGTATATATATATATATATATATATATATATATATATATATATATATATATATATATATATATATATATGTGTGTGTGTGTGTGTGTGTGTGTGTTTTGCCAGTAGTTTGACATCGCCCGAGGAGACACATTGGGCATGTTTTCGTTTTGATATCGTAAAATAAATAATATTTACCTCTAATTTGTATTGAGCCTTCTATTAAATTAAATGTTACGTATAGTGGAATTATACTTCAGTTGTCCTGATTTTACTTATATATATATATATATATATATATATATATATATATATATATATTACAATGAATCATTCATACAAAAAGTAAATTAGTAAAGTTAATGATATAAAATCGCGAAATCCCTTCGCTAACAAAATTTTAAATATGCATTAACCTACTAATCACTAATAATGAATGTTATAATCCTAGTTTTTTAAAATTATAAGCTGTATAAGGTCTTTCTTAAAATACGTTTGTACTTTCGACTGTACATTCAGTCATCTTCTGGCATAGAAATTATTTCGTTTTTGGTAAAATTCAGGTAGCATCCGAGAGGAAAAATATAAGGTTCGCAGGTCTTTAGTCGTTTTGAGTTGACACTGAGTACAAATATTGATTTGGTATGTCATCGGCCGAATCCAGGACATGAATGTAGACTGGATTCGGCCAACGGTTACCACAGGTCAACTCTTCTCATTACAAATATCTGAACGAAAGGCTAAATTCGATTTAAACCTTTGTTGTTTTCCTGGTGTGTACCACATACTAGACAAAGCATTCGTTCAAAAAGGAAGTTTTTTTTCTTTGTCTTTCGATCGTTCAGCGGTTCGAGGTGTATACAAAGCTGTCGCCTACTCTTTTGGGAGGTGTCATTGCTTGAAACAAGAAACTGTATCTGTTTGAAAGAATGGAATTGAAGTAAATAGACTGTTTCTTATTCCACCTATCTGTCTTCATCTATTCTATGTCTGAATAAAGCTACAGTATTTAATCCTAGAAAAGCGAGTTGTGTTGTAAATTATAATTACTACAACTATAGAAGATGATCACTGGCAGTTGAATTTGCTAAAACAATCTTGAATCGAACGGATGCATTAAATTTCAGGCAAATGTCTGAAAAGAAAAGGAAAAATACAGAGAAAAATACCTGAAAGAAAGACAATTTTCTCTCATTGTTGAATAAAGCAAGTTATATATCAGGATGAATACGGGAAACAAATTACAAATTAAAATTGTAGTTAATAGCAAATATTAACGCTAATTTTCGTTCATTTAACATTTTGATATTTGTGTTAAGGTATTGTATATACTTTCTGAATGCTATGTTACAAATGATATTGTTACGTGTTGATAATTGTAACAAAGGAAAAAAATGATTTACAACAACACAGAGCTAAATTACAAACAAATATTTAATTTACTAAAACACAACATAAAATATATACAAGATAAACAATTATGGCCTACAAAACAGAAAACACAGAGTTACTGGCGAAGTGTTACGAGGGAGAAGGAAAGGGAATCAAATATCTTTATCACTTTAGGGCTAGCGAAGTAATCTAAGTGCTATATTTGGAAATCCACAAAGGTGTGAAAATAAATATTAATTTTTAGTTTGGTCAATGAAAATTAGTCAAAATTCTATTTACCAAATTTGTTCCATGAAATTCCCTTTTTGGGTTTTTGTTGGTGGGCAACTTTTTATAGAGATTCTTTCGGCTGGATATAATAATCCTCAAACCCAGGAGTGGATAACAGCAGAAATTCCCCCTCTTCAACTGACAACCCTTTTCCAAAATCCCATTTTTATAGGGGCTAACACCTAATTTGCATATTTCTAGATGTTTCTCGAATCATCTAGATTCTTCTCGAATATACTGGAATGATCTAGAATCTTCCAAACGTTCTATTTCAAATTTCTCTATTTTATAGCTACTTCATGAAAGAAAACTTTTTGTATTAACAGGTAGGACTCGGTGGAATCCCTTATAATAGAAATGCATCCTCGTAACAATATCTAAATTTCCCAAGTAAATAGAAACAAAAATTACTTTTGGTTTTGATTTAATACTTCCATAATTTCGATTAAATTAATTTTCACTAAACTTCAGCGTTTGCATCTGTGATTTATTTCTTATAATATACGTTAGCTAATTGCTATATATCTGTTTTATTGTTATATATCAATTATCTAGAAGTACAAGGAAAAATATATTTTTCTATCACGACCACTCTGACAGATGCTCACTGACTGAAGCATGTCTTGTTAATATTTTTT